GCGGTCGGCAGCGTCTGGATAGCGCGCCGCTCCGCCACTTTGGGGGAGGTCTGCGGAGCTCCAACGGGGGCTCTTGGAGAAGCTTGTTGCGGGGATCGGGGAGGAAGACGGCGACGAAGGAGGAGGGAGGCCCAAGGGGGGCGAGAAGGGAAGGGACGGACGGGAGGAGGCGCAGAGGCAGCGCGAGCAGGAGCAGCAGAAGCAGGGAGGAGCAGCAGCAGCAAGAGCAAAGGGGTGGAGCGAGGGGGGAGGTTCGTTGGCGGGCGAGGGGGGGAAGTGTAAGAAGGGGCGGGCCTCCCCAGAAGGCTTCTGAGCTGTGTCCGGAGCCGTCCCCGAAGGCGCAGAAGGCACTTCAGGCGCGAGGGCCTCTGGGAAGTCCCGCCCGCCTTCTGCGGAGACCTCCTCCTTCTCGTTCCTGCAGTATTACTATCAAACGACCTAGGGGAACCAACTTCGTATAACACTCAAAAAATAGATTCTGCGAGTTTTCAAGCTGATACTCGAGGGAGCTTTCTCTTCGTAATCTAACCCTTAATCCCCCCTCGCTCGCCGCTGAGATGGAGTGAGGTCCGCAGCCTGCCTGGAGAGACGACGCCCACACGTCGGGCGCAGTCTGGTCCTCGGGCCGCAGGCGGCCGACGTGGACGAGCTGGGCACACCCAGGGCGCTCTCGACGAGGCGCAGCTGCTGGGAAGCACCCCCCAAGTTAGCAGCGAGGGCGAGCGATAACAGCCCGGCTTCGCCAATACTCCCTCCTCCCTCCCTCCCCCCCTCTTCCTCGCTTGGCCCAGCTGCGGGCCTTTGAGGTATGGCCGCCCTCGAAGCGGGCAGCACGGGCACTCCTCGCCCAGGAGAGGCCGTGGGCCTCTGAATTCGAGCCTGCCATGAGCCCGTGTAGTCACGCAGCGCACGCGCCCAATGGCGCGCACAAGCGTGCAACGCCAGCCTGTCGTCGACACCTCCGTGGGCTGATCCTGAGATCCTGGCGGGCGATCTCGCCCGCTTTCGGCCCCGAGGGCCCCAGCAGATCGACCCAGCTCGAAGACAGTTGCAGGAAGATAGGGGCCTACAGGGCTCCAGTGGTGATGTTTGGCGATGTCGCAAAATTCAGCCCGCAACGTCGGACCTCGGGGAGTTGAGCCGAGCTGGCCCTCTCGGTCTCCTCGAGCTACCAGTTTGAAGCATGTCCCTATCCCTGTGTTGGGCAGCACCTCGCCTCGATGCCGATCGTCAGGATTGCCTCCTGCTTCTAAGGGCACATCCCCAAGATCGGCCTCGCTTGCTGCTCGCCCATCTTGGGGAGGGGGACAATAGGGGTCCACATACGAACCCTACCCCTACCCCCCACGATTTCGGAGGGGGAGGGTGGGGTTCACTTCGCTCGGGAGCTCCCAGACGAAGTGAACCCCACCATCCCCCTCGAAAACCCCCCTCCGAAATCGTGGGGGGTAGGGGTAGGGTTCGCGCGCGGCCCCCTTGACAAGTTCGAGGCTGCTCATCGAGGACTCCTCGCCGCCACGACAGGGCGCGGCTCCGAGAGCGGCTCGGGAGGGGGTCCCGGGGAGGGGGGAGCTGGCTCTGAGCGGCGGGGCCTCCCCTCCCTGTCCGAGGGGGGAGCCCGTGCCTTGGCCTCGCTCGGGCGTGTGCATCGTCTTGTCGGCGAGGCCGGCGCCTCCTCCTCCTCCTCATCCTCATTCCCTCCTCCTCTTCCTCCTCCTCCGCCTCCTCCATTCTCCTCGTCCCATCTTCTCCCCCTCCTTTCCCCGCCTCCTTCCCTCCTCCTCCTCCTCCTTCCTCCTCCTCCTCCTCTCCTCTCCCCTCCTCCTCATCCTCCTCCCTCCTTCCTCCTCCTCCTCCCTCTCCTTCCTTCTCCTCCCTCCTCCCTCCTCCTCCTCCTCCTCCTCCTCCTCCTCCTCCTCCTCCTCCCCCTCCTCCGTGTCGTGTCCCCCCGCCCCTGGAGGCCTCCTGGGGGCATCACACTGGAGCATCTTAGGCCACCTCGAGATAGCAAGCAAACAGCGCACGCGGCATGGACGTCCGGGCGACGGCAGGGTGCACCATGGCCACACATCATCCGGCTGCTGCGGAGCGAGCCTTCCCGGGCCCCTTTGGGGGCCTCCCTAAAGGGACCATCTCAGAGGTGAAACGGAGATGAAGTGCCGCGGTGACCGCCGAGTGCGGCCGCAAGACCGGCGGTCTTGAGACTGAAGTGGGGCGATCACGGCGCCCCAGGAGATAGCAGGCGGCACAGCCGCAGCCCAGGGGACGACCACGGCACCCCAGGAGCACACGGCGAAGCCACAGCAGGCGCGAGTTTTCGTGGGCGGCCCAGAGGGGTGTGATGACTAGGGGGGGGGATATCATGGCGTGGGCCATGATATTCTCCAGATTTCATGGCGCCTCTTCTTATTTCATTGCGTCCCTGGCCCCCCCCCCCCTGGGCTGCGCATATGCCGCCAGTCATGATTTGCACCCCCCCTCTTGGACGCCCCCCTCTTGGCCGCCCCCGAAGTTTCCGAGCGACCGCGGACGGTTCCCTCGCTGGTGCTGGACCCCCTGCCGGCAGGTGCGCCGGGTGCGGCGCCGCCGCCAAGAGGCTGCAGGGAGGGGGTCTCGCGCCGGCGGAGGAACCGTCCGCGCAGATGGAGGCCTGTTGGGCCGTCTCTGGGCGCCCCTGCATGGAGGCCGTCTGGCGCCCCTGGAGGCCGTCTTGGGGGCCTCTGGGGGGCCCTCTTGGGGGCCGTCTGGGAGGATCTTGTGGTTCGTTTTGGGGCTCTCGTGGGTCCTGATCGGGCGATCATGGAGGGTTTGTGGTGCAGTCTCGGAGAATCTGAAGATCGAAAGGCGAGAATTCGGCGAAAAAGCACAAGTTTAAACAAGCAGCAACTAAGTGCCTCGCCAGAGCCTCCTGGAGACTTTTTGGGACCGGGAC